GATAATTTCTTTATTTTATGGTATTAATTGATTCTTCTACTATATGGTCACATGTTTGCATACTTTCCACTAGAAATGCAGCTTTTGCTAGACTAATTGCACAAATTATAAAATTACGAGTGCAATTCTCAGATTACTCAATCAAGACTATTCGTTTTGACAATACTGGTGAATTTAGATCACAAGTATTTGGAATTGTTGTTGAACATTCGATTGCACATGTCCAAACACAAAATGGTTTAGCGGAATCATTTATTAAGCTTCACAACTTATTGTTAGACCATTACTTATGAAAACAAAACTCCAAACTTCTGTTTGGGGTCATGCCATATTACATGATGCGTCATTGGTTCGTATCAGATCAACTGCATATTATCAATATTCACCAACACAAAGACATTGAAATAGTGTTAAACATATTTTTTGTTACCTAAAGGGTACTATTGATTTGAGATTATTTTATTCTTAAAATTCGGGATCTGTTTTAGTGGGATATGCAGATGCATGTTATCTCTCTGACTCACATAAAACTAAATCACAAACACAATACGTGTTTACAGGTGGAGAACAACTATATCATGGAGATATGTGAAACAATCATTGACAGCAACATCGTCAAATCATTATGAAATTAATGCTATCCATGAAGCAAGTCGAGAACGTGTATAGTTGAGGAACATGACCCATCATATCCAAGTTTTGTGCAGATTAATTTCAACAAAAGATAGTCCAACAATTTTATATATGAAGATAATGCTGCTTGTATTGCACAACTCAAAAAAAGGTTATATCAAGGGAGACATGACGAATAATATTTCTCCAAAATTCTTGCATACACACGAGTTTGAGAAAAAATGGCAACATTAGTATTAAACAAATTTGTTCAAGTGACAATGTGACTAATTTATTTGCAAAAGCAATGCCAACATTTACATTCAAGAAATTGGTTCACAAGATTGTAATGTGTCAACTCAAATATTTTTAGTGATCAACATCAATTGTAGTAGTTGTACAATTTTTTATTCGCTTAGATTTTATTTCACTGGATTTTCCTAACAAAGTTTTAATGAGACATCATTTATTTTTAACACTCCAAAATAACTATACTCTTTTTCCTTCGTTTGAGTTTTTGTCCCATTGAAATTTTATCAAACAATATTTTAACGAGACAGTTATTGTACAAATAATCATCAAATGGGGAGTGTTGTAAAATAATGAGAT